GTCCCCGATGTCCCCGATGTCCCCAGGTGGTGAAGGTGCGGCCCAATGACAAGGACGCCAAGCTGAAGTACCAGGAGTGTCACAAGATCGTCAAGCAGAAGGCCTTCGAGCGCGCCATCGCCAGCGACGAGCACAAGCGCTCCGTCGTCGACTCCCTCGACATCGAGAACATGAGTGAGGACCCCCCCGGACCCCCCCAAAAATCCCCACCCCCCCTTTTCTCCACAGCCAGCACAGAAAGAGGGGACAGGAGTGTCCCCAAAAAAGCTTCCAGGTCACTGGGAGGGTCTTGGGGGTCTTCAGGGAAGGGTTGGGGTCACTTTGGGGGGGTTTTGGGGGTCTCAGGAGGGTCTTGGTGGCACCGTGAGGGTCTTGGGGTCTCAGTGTCCCCGTGAGGGTCTTGGTGTCACCATGAGCGTCTTGGTGTCCCCGTAGTGGTCCCCGTGAGGGTCTCAATGTCCCCATGAGGGTCTTGGTGTCCCCATGAGGGCCTTGGTGGCACCATGGGGGTCTCAGGGTCCCCGTTAAGGTCCCCGTGAGGGTCTTGGTGTCATCGTGGGGGTCTCGCTGTCCCCATGAAGGTCTTGGTGTCACCATGAAGGTCCCCATGAGGGTCTTGGGGTCTTGGTGTCACCATGAGGGTCCCCATGAGGGTCTTGGTGTCACCATGAGGGTCTCGGTGTCCCCATGAGAGTCTCAAGGTCCCCATGATGGTCTTGGTGTCACCATGAGGATCCCCATGAGGGTCTTGGAGTCTTGGTGTCCCCATGAAGATCTTGATGTCACCGTGAGTGTCTTGGTGTCCCCATGAGGGTCTTGGTGGCACCATGGGGGTCTCAGGGTCCCCGTTAAGGTCCCCGTGAGGGTCTTGGTGTCATCGTGGGGGTCTCGCTGTCCCCATGAGGGTCTTGGTGTCACCATGAAGGTCTCCATGAGGGTCTTGGGGTCTTGGTGTCACCATGAGGGTCCCCATGAGGGTCTTGGTGTCACCATGAGGGTCTCGGGGTCCCCATGAGGGTCTCAAGGACACCATGATGGTCTTGGTGTCACCATGAGGGTCCCCATGAGGGTCTTAGTGTCACCGTGAGGGTCTTGGGGTCACCATGAAGGTCCCCATGAGGTTCTTGGGGTCTCGATGTCCCCATGAGGCGCTTGGTGTCACCATGAGGGTCTCAAGGTCCCCATGAGGGTCTTGGGGTCTTGCTGTCCCCATGAGGGTCTTGGTGTCCCCATGAGCATCTTGGTGTCACCTGAGGGTCCCCGGGAGGGTCTGAGAGTCACCATGAGGGTCTTGGTGTCACCATGAAAGTCCCCATGAGGGTCTTGGTCTCGACATCCCCATGAGGATCTTGGTGTCCTCATGAGGGTCTTGGTGCCCCCATGGGGGTCTCAGGGTCCCCATGAGGGTCACCGTGAGGGCCTTGGTGTCCCCATGAGGGTCTCAGTGTAACCATGATGGTCTTGGTGTCACCATGAAGGTCCCCATGAGGGTCTTGGTGTCCCCGTGAGGGTCTCGGGGTCCCCATGAAGGTCTTGGTGTCACTGTGAGGGTCTCAGTGTCACCATGAAGGTCTCGACGTCCCCATGATGGTCTTGGTGTCACCATGAGAGTCTCAGGGTCCCCATGAGGGTCCCTGTGAGGGTCTTGGTGTCACCATAAGGGTCTTGGGGTCTTGGTGTCACCGTGAGGATCTTGGTGTCCCCATGAGGGTCTCGGTGTCACCATGATGGTCTCAGGGTCCCCATGAGGTCTTGAGGTCATCATGAGGGTCTCAGGGTCCCCATGAGTGTCTCAGGGTCCCCATGAAGGTCTTGGTGTCACCATGAAGGTTGCCATGAGGGTCTTTGGGTCTTGGTGTCCCTATGAGGGTCTCAGTGTCCCTATGAGGGTCACCATGAGGGGCTTGGTGTCCCCATGAGGGTCCCCATTCAGGGTCTTGGTGTCCCTGTGGAGGTCCCCATGAGGGTCTTGAGGTCCCCATGAGGGTCTTGGTGTCACCATGAAGGTCTCGAGGTCCCCATGAGGGTCTTGGTGTCACCATGAGGGTCCCCATGAGGGTCTTGGGGTCTTGGTGTCCCCTTCAAGGACTTGGTGTCACCATGAGGGTCTCAGTATCACCATGAAGGTCTTGAGGTCCCCATGAGGCTCTTGGTGTCACCGTGGGGGTCTTGGTGTCCCCATGAGTGTCACCATGAGGGTCTCAGTTTCCCCATGAGGCCACCCACCAGACCTTTGGTGTCCCCATGAGTGTCCCCAACGTCTCCAGAAGCCCCTCGGGGTTCATCAGTGGCCGTGAGCTGGTGGGGGAAGGACAGTGGGGGCACAATGACCCTTTGGGGACATGTCCCTTGGTGTCATCAGGCCACCACGGGGTTGGGGGGGTGACTCGTTTTGCAGCCATCGAGGACGAGTACAGTGGCCCCAAGCTGGACGGTGGCAAGGTGACGTTGGCCTTCATGAAGGACCTCATGCAGTGGTACAAGGAGCAGAAAAAACTCCACCGAAAATGCGCCTACCAGGTCCCCACGATGTCCCCAAACCTCCTCCTTGTCCCCTTCCTCGTCCCCAAAGTGCCACATGTCACCTCCAATGTCCCTTTGTCCCCGCAGATCCTGGTGCAGGTCAAGGAGGTGTTGGCCAAACTCCCGACGTTGGTGGAGACAACGTTGAAGGAGGTGGGTCCCTGTCATTGAGTGGGGACAAATGTCACCTCCAGTGATGACATCTGTCCCCTCGGCTTGTCCCCAACCCCAGACGGAGAAGGTGACAGTGTGCGGTGACACCCACGGCCAGTTCTACGATCTCCTGAACATCTTCGAACTCAACGGGCTCCCCTCTGAATCCAACCCTTACGTATCCACCACCGAGGAAGGATTGTCCCCAACCTTGGGGACATGGGGAAAGGTGGCACGAAGGGGACCTGGGGACTTTTTTTTTTTCCTCAACGGGTGACAGATATTTAACGGGGACTTTGTGGACCGAGGGTCCTTCTCGGTGGAGGTCATCCTCACGCTCTTCGGCTTCAAGCTCCTCTACCCCGACCACTTCCACTTGCTCCGAGGTAACGAGGCCACCAATGGTGACACGGGCTTGTCACCTCCCTGCCCCGGTGACATATTCTTGTCACCTCCACCTGGTCCTGTCTTCTGAGGCCACATCCTCCCTTGTCCCCAATTGTGGGGACTCGTCACATGCCTGTGTCACCTGTCCCCAGGTGTAGGACAAGCTCGTGGGGTGGTGGCATCATGTCCCCAATGGTGGGTGACACGTCCTGTGTCCCTTGTCCCCTCCTGGGCAGCAGGACCCTGTCGGGGGGTGGTGGCACCATGTCCCCAACAGCGGGTGACACATCCTGTGTCCCTTGTCCCCTCCTGGGTGACAGGACCCTGTCCTGGGGTGGTGGTACCATGTCCCCAACTGCGGGTGACACGTCCTATGTCCCTTGTCCCCTCCTGGGCAGCAGGACCCTGTCATGGGGTGGTGGCACCGTGTCCCCAACTGTGGGTGACATGTCCTGTGTCCCTTGTCCCCTCCAGGGTGACAGGACCCTGTCGTGGGGTGGTGGCACCATGTCCCCAACAGCGGGTGACACATCCTGTGTCCCTTGTCCCCTCCAGGGTGACAGGACCCTGTGCTGGGGTGGTGGCACCATGTCCCCAACTGCGGGTGACACGTCCTGTGTCCCTTGTCCCCTCCTGGGCAGCAGGACCCTGTCGTGGGGTGGTGGCACCATGTCCCCAACAGCGGGTGACACATCCTGTGTCCCTTGTCCCCTCCTGGGTGACAGGACCCTGTCCTGGGGTGGTGGCACCATGTCCCCAACTGCGGGTGACACGTCCTGTGTCCCTTGTCCCCTCCAGGGTGTCAGGACCCTGTCGTGGGGTGGTGGCACCATGTCCCCAACTGCGGGTGACACGTCCTGTGTCCCTTGTCCCCTCCAGGGTGTCAGGACCCTGTCGTGGGGTGGTGGCACCATGTCCCCAACTGCGGGTGACACGTCCTGTGTCCCTTGTCCCCTCCAGGGTGTCAGGACCCTGTCGTGGGGTGGTGGCACCATGTCCCCAACTGCGGGTGACACGTCCTGTGTCCCTTGTCCCCTCCAGGGTGTCAGGACCCTGTCGTGGGGTGGTGGCACCATGTCCCCAACTGCGGGTGACACGTCCTGTGTCCCTTGTCCCCTCCAGGGTGTCAGGACCCTGTCCTGGGGTGGTGTCACCAGGTCCCCAACTGTGTCCCCAACTGTCCCCTCTCTTCACTCCCAACGTTGAGCCATGACGCCACGTCCTGGTCACCTTGTCCCTTGTCCCCCATCTTGGCTCCCAGTTCCCCAGCCATGGTGGGGGGGTATGTCCCCTACCTGGTGTCCCCAACCCGGCCGATGTCCCCAGCTGTCCCCGTGTCCCCAGGGAACCACGAGACGGACAACATGAACCAGATCTACGGCTTCGAGGGGGAGGTGAAGGCCAAGTACACGGCGCAGATGTTCGCGCTCTTCAGCGAAGTCTTCGAGTGGCTCCCGCTGGCCCAGTGCATCAACGGGAGAGTGCTGGTGAGGGGACACCCCTGTCACCTCCCTGTCACCTCCCCTGGCTCCTGGGTCAGCCCCTGGTGAGGGGACACCCCTGTCACCTCCCCATCACCTCCCCTGTCCCCAACACAGCCCCCTGGTGAGGGGACACCCCTGTCACCT